GCTGCCTCCTTTCCTACTTGCATCCTGCTACTCGTACATTCATGTGAAGTATTGTTTTCCACTTATTTGTAATCCTCAGAATCACAACTGTCTTCACATTCGTCTCGTTCTTTTGTTTTCTTTGTATACCCTCTTTAGTTCAACTTTTTGCATATTTGCGTCATTTTGTTCTTTACTTCTTATTATGAGTTACATGATGTCTCTCTTCCAAGTTTCCTTGACTCTGCTTCCTATCCTTTTTACTCGCAGTCTTTATACGAATTTGTCTCAATTATGTTACTACTTTCTTGCAATTTTTCGCAATTTCGCTTCGTTCGATTCTACTTGTATTCCATTTGCAGTTTTTCGGAACAGCCCATCTATCACTTTTCTGCGTACAAGTATTTTGTGTTCGTTCATATTTGATTATTGGCTTTTCTCTTCACACAGTAAATCCTAAACTCTTTCTCCCTCGCCTCCTCGATACCGTCTCCCATGTCCAATCATATTTCAATGGGCTCCATAGGCGGCGTTATTTCATCAAATATGGCAAAGTCTCCCGCAACTTTAAATCACTTTTCATTTATGCGACAAAAGCCACACGCACTAAGCCACCCTACACCATCCACCTCCCACCTCCCAGCTGGCACCCACCTCCTGAGCCTCCTGCGACCATCCCTAGCCATTCAGCATTCACCTTAACACTACCTGACTTCGACAGCATACGTAGTTAGTGTCGCTGCCTCCATTGTTGTCTCCCCGTCCACTGGCATCCGAGCACAAAGCTCTGTCATAAATCATTCTCGTGCCGCGCTGCCACAGAATGACACACGTTGGCCAAACGGACTGCCGGGCCGGACCGGACCGGGTCGGACCGACTGCTGGACCGACTGCCTACCAGCAGGTATTCATTGAAACTGAAGTGGAGATGTCGCCAGGCCCTGTCCATTGTTTGTGCTGCTGCCACCACTGTTAGTGTTGTTGGCTGTAGTTGTTGCTGTTGTTGGTGTTGTTGGCGTTGTTGTTATTGTTGTTTGCAGTTTGGGGTCACAAATTGTTTTGCTACCGAGATTCAACAAATTGGAAAGTGTTCACAAGTGGCCATACTAACGAGAGTCATGCCCAGTCTGTCGCCCACAATAGCGCCAGAAAGCGGCGCCGGGCCAAAAGCTGCGTACGTGCCCTTCAGTACGAATCCGCAGTGTTCCACGTGCCTGCCAGCTCCCCTGTCCCGCCCTCTCTGCCTGTCCAACTGTCCGCCTGCCTGTGCTGTGCTGTGCTGGGCTGTGCGTCCTTGCCCATTTAATAATAAAAATTTGAACAAAACAAAAGTTTCACTGGGAGTTTTGGCGCGTTTTCATTATTTAAATAAAAATTCAAATTAAATAAGATTAATTTGCCGCTGCTGAGGCGACTCGTGGGGCGAGTGGTGAGGCGAGTGGTGTGAGGCAGTGGACGGGACACGGGACACGGGGCGCATGCTTTCTGGAACGGCTAAAAAGCTTAGCTACAAACAACAAGGAGCGAGCGTGGGTTCCACATCACTTTACTCCGCTCCGCTCCGCTCACCTACCACCCCATTCCACTTTAGAGATTCAGTCGTTTGGTGTGTTGGTGTTCGTCGGTCCTGCATTTGCGACTTTACAGATACATTTATTCGCAGCAGTTGTTGTTATTGTTATCGTTGGGCGCGTGATTTTGGTCACTTTGAGGGAACTTTTGCATAATTCCACTCAACGCCACTTGAAGATGACTAATGATGGTCTGCCATTGTGCGCAAATATAGAAATGAGACTGGTCTTCTGGCCAGGAGTGGAGTAGAGTGGACTGGAGTGTCACTCCTGCTGGCTCACAAATATGTCAAATTTGTCTTCAATTGTAGCCCGAAAGCAACTGCGATCAGCAGCTACGCACCCGCAGAGTATATGCGCGTCGAATATGACACAAACTTTTCGCACACCACGGCTCTGGGCAATTTTTCTAAGCTGTCATCAGCAACAAAAGTGGGGCGTCCACCACCGATACCACAACTATGCGCGAGTATGCAGGAGGGAGGGAAACAGAGATACACATGGACATGAGCGATAAACCATGTGATTGATTGGCGACACTGCAGCCTAAAACTAATGAACAGGCGCCAACAGTTGCCAGCTGTCAGCTGCCAGCCGCCATCAGAGCGTTGCGCAAAATCAAAATGTTAAGCGATGCTCAAAAACGCATCAAATGCAAATGATGCAGGAGCCTGGATTTATATCCCCCACACCATGGAGCCCGATATTATAACAGTAGGCGCTCGAAAATTTGAAAATGCCAGCAAACATTCAATCTCCAAGACAATCTTGTATTTGTTCGTTTCTGATTTGGGTTAAATTACGACAGAGTCCTGTAGGTCCTTCGGGCTACAAGATACTTGTCGTGAGTTTAAAATGCTTTCCAATCACAACTTTCAATAGGATTGTCAGGAGGAGGTCCCAGGGTATTCGTAAGCTTGTTCTCCTACAGATATTACTGTGTACAAAGTCAAGCTTCTTTTCATGCTTCAAAAAAAAACAATAAAAATAAAAAACAAAAACAACTTTAAAACATAAGATCTTGCTATTAAATAGAAGATAACAAAATATCTTTCGCACCTCTGAAAAAGGAACTAAATAGTGAGGACTGTGAGGACTGTCAGCAAAATTTTTCAGCACTAGACTGGGATTTTTATGATGAATAAAGGAAATTCCAAGCAACCCAAGTATATCAGCCGCTTCTAAACATTTTTTGTCTTGATTGTATTCATGGCCATCCGAAAGTCTTTGGATAAGTGTTTGCGAGTGTGCTACAAACTAAGCTCGAACGAAGCTCGAATGAAAGTCGAATGAAGTCAATCTTTCCTGAAATCCATCTGTGTATCGCTGTTGCAGTTAACCAAGCAGAATCGGTTGTTTCTTTTCACTATCAATTTCGAAAAACGTGTATCTATGCAACGAACAATTCGTGCCCGTGCCAACCCATATTTGATCTGAACACAAGTAGAATCTTGAGGTCGAAAACTCCATAGATAATGCTAGTCTGATGTACACAGTTGGGGGCAGTATGTGTAACAAATAATTCTCTATTTGGAGCGCGTACTGTGCGATATAATAAAAATTGATACCTCTCCGATGCAATTAGCGCCAGCGAGGAAATGTTCGTGCAACATTTTTCAACACTTGAAGGGGTGCGAAGCCAAATGCCAGCCACCCAGATGCTCAGCACGGAATGGCGCTACTCAACTTTAGTGTCAAGTCCTTGCCGTTTGCCGTTGTCCGTCCGCTAATGAACAACAAACTTGTAGAAGTTTTACACAGCTTGAGGAGCTTGAGGAGAAGGCAAACGAAACGGCAACAAAATGTCGTCAATAAGGCAAAGAAATAAAATGAAATGCAATTAACCAACTAAACGAGGTCATGGAGCGTCGCGAGTCCCGCGTACCGAGCAGCGAGTCGCGAATGTCACGGATGTGATGGGAAGAAGGGGTTCTTGGACCGTAAGCTGAGTCGATGCGATGGCACGAGTTGATGGGCAATTAGAAAATACAAAATTAGCATCACTTGGACGCACGCTCGAGAGACAATAATAAGAAAGAGCCGTCGGAAAAGGTGAAATTAGGTGAAACAGTTTCATGCATCGGTGGCAACGATGCTGCCCCGAATAGGTGAGCAATTTGTGCCCGCCTGGGCATGCAAATGAGTTTGATTTATGCACGCCACAAATTGGCCGCCAGCTGAAACCAGGAATTGGGGATCAGCGGGCAGTGAGGAAGGACTCTGACGACAATGCACGGGCCATCAATTGCATGCGCATCAATATGAGCACCAAATGCGAAACGGATTATTAAAGATGCTAGCGTTGCGAAATAAAAAATGAAATGTGCAGGCTGTTCCCCCCTTTCTTACGCCCACCAATTCAGTTCCCCAGTGGCCCAATGCGCTCTGCGCAAATAGAGATAAGCTATAACCAAACCGGCAGCGTCTTCAGTTCTCGATAAATTCGCCGTGTACGGTGCCGCCATGTCGCTCAAAAGATATGCAACCCAGCGGGCAGAGGTGAACGAAGCAGAAGCAGAAGCAGAAGAAGAAGAGAGGAGAAAAAATTTCATTCATTTCCATAATTTTAATAAAATTGGAGAAAAATATTCAAGGCGCTGGCAGGTTGCAGCCATCTTGCCATCTTGCTACACCGCAATGAGCGGGGCGAAATAAAAGCGGAAAATGGAAAATGCAAAATATGTGGCATGTAAGCGGACGCATTGGAGCAGCAGCTGCCTCATCGAACATGTCGTGACACCATGGGAAATCCATCGGAGATTGTGGAAGGCCAAATGGGTCACATTTCCGCCATTTCATCATCATTAGTTCATTTTACGGCATTGTCTTTAAGAAAAAGAATCTAGGAAATAACGCAACAGAACACGGACCTCAGCAGCAGCTGCCTCATCGAATATATCGTGACGTCATGTGAATTCAATCGAAGATTGTGGAAGACTCATACATATTATATATACTATACTATAAATATTATATATACTATTTATTTATATAGTATGCATATTCTTTAATTTCTTCTCAATTTGATTTTAAAGAAGTGTCTTTAAGAAAAAGAATCTAGGAAATAACGCAACAGTACACGGACATCAGCAGTAGCTGCCTCATCGAATATGTCGTGACGACATACAAGTATTGTGGAAAGCTCAATTGAGAATATACGAGTATGTACTATGTATATGCATGAGTATTTAATTTGAAGAACGGCTGTGGGTTTTTTTCTATTATTTTAAAGCCTGTCATAAAGAAAGCTTCTGGGCTACCTTTTCCAAAACACAAAACTACTCAAGCGCTCTGAGCGCAGTAGGCTGAAGCGACTCTCAGTATACAAAAACCATTTTTCAGTGAGCTGTAAGCAGATAGACAGTTAGTTAGTTAGTAGAACAAATTAACACACGCCCAAAATCTTTCCTCACAATACAAGTATAATCGTGTACGCAGAAAAAGTTCGTTATGAACGCTTCGTACGACTTCAATCGCCACTGGATCACGGTGCCGCGCAACGGCCCCCGTAGTCCTGCGCCGGTCTACAAGCTAGTCTCGTACAACATATTGGCGCAGGATCAGCTGCTGCGCCACATGACTTCCTATGCTGGCATCGACAGCCAACTGTTGAGCTGGCGCCGCCGCCTGACCAACCTGCGCCGCGAGCTGGACACGCTTAACTCTGACTTGCTGTGCCTTCAGGAGGTGCAGTGCAATCATCTGCCGCAGATTGTGGCACGTCTCAAGAACGGGGTACGCCACTACGACTATGTCTACCAGCAGAAGCTGGAGGACCGCTCGGATGGCTGCGCCATACTCTACGACAAACATAAATTTCTCTTGGCAGACAATCGGGCGCTCGCCTGTCATATCGGCAACAGTGGCGACTCCACCCGGGGCGCTCATCAGAGCACCACAGATCCATGCCGTGAGTACTACGCTCTAATGGCCAAGTTCAAATTACGCAGCCAAACGCCGCAAGCGGAGCCGAAACCGGAACGCGAGCTCATTGTTGCTAATGCACACATGTTGCAGTGGGAGGCCTCTAAGCCAGATATACGTCAGGCCCAGGTGAAGCATCTGCTCAAGGGCATGGCCGACTTCTGCTATGACAACGGCTCGAAGATGCGCAACCCCATTCTTCTGGCCGGCGATTTCAATTTCGAGACCGAGTCTGAGGCCTATGCTATATTGACGGCACGCACCGCCTCCTTCAGGCACCCGCTCCAGATGGTATCTATATACGGGCACAACAACAGCACTGCCACCACTTGCACACCCACTCTGGGCTGGACCAATGCCGATCACATGTTCTTCTCGCGCGGCAACCAGCGTCACGAGCTGCGCATCTGCAGCTACTACAAGCTGCCGCGCATGCGCATCTGCGAGCGCATCGGCGAGCTGCCGAACAAGTATCTGGGCTCCGATCACTACTGTCTGGGTGCCACTTTTACTGTGGAGTAGAGCAGACTGCATCGCTGTTTTCTGTTTGTTGTTCAATTGTTGTAAGTTTCCTTATAGGTTGCAGGCTTAGCCGACCATACAAACAAGCATTCCAGACGAACACCAACAAACAAACAAAAAAAAAAAAACATAAAAAACAAAGCAAATGAGAGTGTATCATGTCTGCTTTAAACCTTAAACCAGGCCCTTCCGAAAGATTCGACTCTCATACGATTTTTTGAGCAGTCTGATCTGAACGAAATGGATGAGTTGTCAATTGTAGAAAATCCTTATAATTGTTTAAGAATGCACTACTTTTTTCAATCTGAAAAATAAACGACTTTTGTTCGCCTCGAAGCAATTTCGTTGCTGTCCACTGTGCATTCAGTTGCTCGCTCGCTCGCATTCGCATGCATGTACCGCTCCTAAGGCTCACTCAGGGGGGATCCCCACACCACACACCACTCCACTCCACTCCATTCCCCCGCCACTGCCATTCATTCGCTTGCTATGCGCACTGACGACCAAATGACATAATTCAGTTCTGGCAAAGTTTTGACTGATGCTGATGCCACCAAGTTGTGTAGCAAAGTTCAACGTTGAATTTTGATGCTTGTTGATTGCTGCCGCTGCCTCTGCCGCTGCCTTGCCGCCGTCGCTTTCACCTTTACGTTTGCTGCTTTGCGATGTCTTACCTAAGTACTCCCCGCCCCCCCCCCCCCCCCCCCCCCTTACTTTTTTACCAGAGTGCTGTGCAGAACTTGCCACTTGTTTTTGAAGATATGTCACCAGGTGTAGCTGCGCATTTAATCCAACCAAAAGTCGTAACATCAACAGCAAACGTCACACAAATTCCACTTCCCGTGCTCCGTATGGCCGGAGACGTAACCGTAGCCATCGCCATTGCCGTTGTCGTTGTCGTGGCCCGTATTCTATCGTCCATCGTCCGTCGTCCGTCCGTCCGTCCGTCCGTGGTCCAAATGTACGAGCTCGTTGCCATTGAGGAAAAATGTGTGCCTGACACTTTAAAAGTCAAAAGTCAAAGTTACAGCACATGTAACATGTGCCCATGTGCAATTGTTTTTTGTTGTTTTTTTTTTTGCTCCTTGTGGCTGCTGTCGCTGTCCTTATTGCTCTCATTGCTGTTGCCGGTGATGTTGCTGTTGTTGTGCCGACGGAAATGACTTTCACTTGAACTTATTTGTGTTATGTTACTCATACGCCCCATATGCCATGTGCCATACACCATACACCATATGCCAGTTGATGCCAGCCAAAATAAAAGGGAAAACAAAAATAAAAAGTAAAAACAAAAACGAAAACGAAAAACGAAAAAATCAGAAATAAAAGCCCAATTGTAGCACAAATTAAAATGTGCAAAACTTTCTAGGGGTGTTGATTCTGGCTCAGTTCTTGTTACCTGCCCTGCCTGCTTGGGAGAACGTACGTGGGTTTCGTACAATCTGATATCCTGCCTTCCCCTATTAGACAGAGAGAGAGAGAGAGAGAGAGGGAGATCTCATCTGGCAGGGGTACTGCTCAGTTACCATAGGCTTTGTGAACAATATTTGAACAATAAATACGCCGACTAGACGCGCCACCTGATCACACACTTTTCAATTTAGTTACAAAAGTCTTGATGGTCTAGCTTGAAGATAATGTTGCGACCCTGCCAGCAAGCAATTGCCACAAAAATGCAAACCACTCTTTACAGTTAACACAACAGCATAGAAACGGCCCTATTTCTAGCGGCCTATTGGACCGTAGTGTTAGTTGGTTCTAAGATTGTCTCAATGGCATTGAAAAATGTGTTTAATAAGAAAGATGTTTTCATTGATTCAGTCCCGCTTTCCACCGAGCACCTTTAGAGTGTGTGCAAAATTCGGTTTGTGGAAGATTTCGCCAGCAACTACCAGAATTTACGATTCCGGAGTGCAAAAGTGCCGAGGATCATAACTCATGGCAGTGACGGCATTAAATCTTACCATTTAATTATGCTAGAGTTCGCACGGGCAACCAGCTCAGGTACAAAGCGACATGCTCCGATATCCTGAAGGGTTGCGTGCGAGGGCCTTCGTTGTCGCACGCATACGACGATGCGGCAGCGGTGGAAGTCGGAGTCAGGTAGTGGCTGTGGCTGTGCCTGTGGCAGTGGCACTGCCAGTGGTTAGTTGTTGGTAGTTTGTCAGAGTGGCGCTCGAGCGAACAAGCGTTAAAATTAATTTGGCAAATCATGAGGAATCGCCGGCAAATGGCAGCTCCAGTCAAATACGTTGACTCATTTCGTGGGTGGTGATGGTGGTGGTGCTAAGAAGGAGCACGTGGTGTGTGATGCGTCTTAGTTACGTGAGGGTTTGCACCACGTGCGCATCGTTTATGAGTAACGAGACTCGTTGCGGGATCTGCTCCTGCTCCTGCTCCTCCTCCTCCTCCTCCTGCTGGTGTTGGCGTTGGTGGCATTTAGCAGAGCCTCCAACCCTAACAGCAAATGGGCGGAATTTGCTGTTAAAAAAGGCAAGGCACGTTGTTGCTGTTGTGGCCGAGTTGATAGTCGGAAAAAGTGACTCGGAAACCACCACACTATTGAGGCTGGGGATCAGAGGGTCGGGCCGGTCTGCAGGTCAAGGTTATCAGGAGGAGGCTCATACGAATTTGCATACACAGTTCATACATACGACTGCCTTGCTTACATGCATATGTGTGTGCGTGTTGTGGCTTATATTTATGACAACTACGTGTTGTTGTTGGCTGTGTGTGTGTTCCTTTTTTTTTTTTTGTTGGGCTTCTGCTTGTTTGTGCTGTTTGTGTTTGTGTTTTTGTTTCTGCTGCGACTCTTGGGCCAAAGCGACAACATAAAACAGTCGTAAAATTTATTAAGTGACATTTTGTGAAATTTGCTGGTAAAAATAAAAAAATAAAACAGCAGAAATGCTCTGTACGAGTATGTGCGTGCGTTACCCACACACATAGATACGCACACTCAGACATTTACAGAAACTCATTTCAAGTTAATTAGACGCTTGGGCACAAAAACAGCAGAAGCACAAATATGAAAATTAGGAAAAAAAAAAGGAATAACAAAAAACACGTTACTTGTACAAGCATTTGCCAGCAGGCAATTAAATGGACAAAAAATATTAATAATGAATAGAGAAGGAGGAGCATACATACATACTATATACTCGTATAGTACATAGGGAGAGGCAAACAGCATAATAAAATTGTTGGCGCAATAACTCAAGTTTTAACTTAAATATTAATTAATTTGACGCGCTATCTGACAACAACGATGAATGGCCCACTCTCTCTCTCTCTCTCTCTCTCTCTCTCTCTCCCTCTTTCCACTGACGCCGCACAGCCCAAGGTCATCAACGACTTTCACGATTTTCACGTTTCCCGCATTTCTGTTTTCTTTTCCATTTTTGTTCACTGCTGGCGCTAATTTTGCATTTTGTAATTGCTCATCAGCCGCTTGATTGTTACTCTCAGCACGACCTCCCCCCGAACCCCAGCTGCCAGCTGCCAGCTCCCAGCCGCCCGCCCCCACCATCCACTGAACCACTCGGCAGGCCCACCAATCCCACCAAGTCCAAGCAAATTATCACCTGAGCTACAGGGACGCCCATTCCGCTTGTTTAGTTGTTTAATTGCATTTCATTTAATTTTTGCTTTTTCCTTTTTTGTTTTTGCCTTATTGGCAATATTTAGTTGTCGTGACGATTTGGCTGCGAAACTTCTGAAAGTTTGTCCTTCATTAGTGGGGAAGTGTCAAGCGACAAGGGCCGGGAGCTTGATTTTATAGTCGAGGCGCTGATTTGCAAGAAGAATGGCAAGCATGTTGAACTTTTTAGCTGTTCCATGAGGAGTCTATCAGCACTAAGACGACGCAATGCATTAACCACGAATCCCGATTTTATTTTAGAGCCTATGTATTTCCTTTTCAGATACTAATGGTTGCTCGATCATATTCTAATAAGGTATTGTTCTATTTCATTTACTTACAGTACCTGCCATGGCTGGTGATGATTTGTCAACAGCAGTTATTACAAGTCTCACACTTCTCTTGCAATTAGCCTTCCTCTAACATAATATTATTTTAGGTTATATTTAAAAAAGAAAGAGTAAAGTGAGAGTGTTCCCCACTTGATGCGCTTCCTTCAAAGCACTTCCCTCAATAAGGAGAGCTGTTCCCTCATCGAAGAGTGCACAACTTGCGCGAAAGCTAACATCTCCATACCATATAATAAGCACATTTATTTATCATCGTGTCTTTATTGAATCTTTGCAAGTTCACTTAACTCCGAAATTTGGGCTAGAAATATGTGTGGCATTTGTGGTTCAGATTCAAACATTTTTACAGATCCATTTAATACAGCGACCAACCTTCACTGTAGCTCTGCGTAGCCTCCACTTGTTCGTTCTTCACTTCCAGCTCGGACTCCGGCTCTGCGCCCGACCCCTGCCCTACAATATGCTCGACAAGGGTTTCATTTGATGGAGCACTGCCAGCATTTTGCAGCTCGGGGTCTTCCTTTTTCGAAGCCAAAGACATTCTCAGCTGCTCGATCTCGGATCTAAGGTCCCAAGGATAGATGCCGCCCTTTCGCTGCATGAGGCCACCCTTTGGTGTGGGACGCTGTGGCATGACCCAGTTCTGCTTGAGAAAAGTGGCCCGCTTCATTTCGCTATTAAGAGCGTTGTAGAGCTCGATCTTTTTGCGAACAACCGACTCTGTCGTCGGCAATTCGAGAGCCAGACGTGCCCAAGTGGCTCGCCACTCATCAAACTCTTTCGGTAGGAAGGCGAGGTTGGAGAGGGCATTGATCTCGTATTGTGCTATGGCATCATCGAGACGCACCAGCAGCACAATATTGGTGGGGGTGGTGTCCACGTAGTAACCAACCATAAGCTCCGCAACCCCCATTACCTCAGCCACATGGAACTCAGGCCTCTCGCCCTCGCCTTTGATGTTCAGCCGGACAAAGCAGCCGCGAACTGCCTGCTCGAAAAGCGGATGCATGAGCAGCTGTTGGGCACGATGTCGTGTGAGCCGCAGCTCTTGCAGCTGATCGAGGCTTGTCAAGGGACGAGGTCGGTGTGATGTCTTGGTTTGACCCGACCAGCGGTCATCTTCATCGACTTGAGGCGACTGGGAATGCAAGCGCTTCAGGGCCTGCAGAATGCGACTGGTTTCCTCTGGAACACACCCACCCAGTTAGGACTGATGCTACTCGCTGACAGCGCTACTTACGTCGGCTCTTCTTCGGACTGGGACTGCGTCCATGCACGTTAATATTATGCATCGTATTCACAATTGGAAACTGTTCAATGGTCTCACGCCCCAACTCTTGGTGTTGTCTTTAAAATACGATAAATTTCTAAGCAAACTTTGTGGTACCTTTTGCCTCGCCTTGCTTCATGAACTAAACAATTTTTTTATTCCCGACAACTACGAATAAAATCAAACATATTTTGTGTTTTCTAACTACGAACGGCCCGACTACTAAGATAGGGCCTCCAACAGGCTGATCCAAATTCAAAGTAGATAGAACGTTCTACTTGTATTAGAGCATTTTATTCCAAGTCCGAGTTTGTCTATAAAGAATTATATTTTCTGATGCTTAGGAGTGGCGCTGTCAGTCAAAGAAGGGAAGAGGCATTGCTGTCAATTGTTACAAAATTCCAAACACGTGCTAATGGGATAAAAAGAAAACTTGATGGTCTAAGAGGAGGGCAGAAACCTGTGAGGTACACCCATAAGATTTGATACTCTTATACCAAACTGTTATGACGCAATTCTCAACCGAACGCTATAAGTACTTGTATATATAAGACCCAAAGGAGAAACGAACGAAAAGGTCGTAGACACAATTCGCTAAGTGTAATAAAAGAAAGGAATAACAATACGACTAGAAATTATGGTGGGTGGGGAAGGCGACTGTTGGAATTATTAATTTGGCATTTTCAATTGCCTTTGAATGGCAGCCAAGAATGGCAAATGTTGGGAGCGTTTAGAGTTTGGAGTCTGGAGTCTGGAGTGCACGCCTCTGAGGTAATTAAATAGTTTGAAACCTTTTTTGGCAATTGCGACGCAACCTTTTGCGAGACACATACTCGTAAGTTTGCCAATGCATGGAGGAGGCAGAGGAGTGCTTTTTACGACTGCCACATCTATGTGTGTGTGTGTGTGTGTGTGTGTGTGTGTGTGGGTGGGTGCCATAAGCGAGGGCAACTATAAATGTATATTAATTTGACATTTTTGGCTACAATCACTTGGCAGAGCGCACAACCAACCGCACCCTTGTCCCCTGTGGACGATGCCAGATGCTCTGCCACTGCCAATGCCATGGCTCCACATCTGCCTCTGTCTCCATTCTCTGCCAATCCGTGCAACCATTAAATTGTCAAAGAGATTTATTGCACAATAACTTTAATTACTGTCGAAATTAATTGTATGCGACCGACCCTCAAGAAAAACTCATTAGATAATTGAGGGCGCTCGCATACCTCAAACTATTGGCAGCAAATTACTAGAAGTTCATCCAAAGTTCTCAATTTTCTGGCGATTTTGATCATTTTTGATGAGGCGGCACATATCGAATATAGGAGAGAGTCTGATACGAAATATGAATCGATATATGTATGTATGCATACTATGTACACAAGATTCTGTTTCTGATTTCTTAATTGAAGTGCAGCCTAACTTGGAAGCCCCGTTGATCTACCCTCGCAGATCTAGCCTCGTCATCTATGGCCATCCCGTCATCGTCACGTTCATAGATCGATCACCTTTTTAGGAAAGGAACATTCTGGCCAAATATTTACAAACATATGAGGACATTTTGATCTGTCTAGCTGTCAACCCTAGAGTAAGCTAGTTCTTGAGTAGCAGCAGCTCAGGAGTCGAAGGTGTTCAACTGTAGAGGAGGATCGGGAGAGTGAACTGTAGTTTCAAAAGTTTTCAGTTGGTATCCGATTGTTATTCAGCTAATAATTTAACGATGCACTTACACGTTTATTCTAATAAAAAACTTGACTTACTCGTACATGGTCTGGCTTTTAAATTGCTTCATTTCAGCGATTTTCAGTCCACAATTCTACCTTAAATAACCCCGCTAAAGCTGAAACAAAACTTCTAAAAGTTAATCAGTCCAACTGTTATAAAATTGTTGCAAACAAAAAATATGTATATATATGTACTATTATATATGAGTATTAAAATGTCCATTTCAGGCTGTGATTGATGGCTGAGTCAGTTCAGATTTCAAATTTAAATTAAAGGGACGTTAAAACTGCAAAAAAGCAGCTCTAATAGCTCCGCCCGAAATCCCTTTGCCGACCGTTTTACGGACAATGCCCGCAAAGATTTGGCAGTGCAGTCGACAGGACAGGGCTGGGGAAAAGTTTGGAATTGCAGCAACAATCAGAACGGGCAGCCAGGACATGCACACTTTTCTGTCAGACGGGCCGCAGCGGCCGTCATGGCAACTCCAGCCTACAACAACAACAACAACAATCCTAGCGACACAGCAACAACAGCATTACATTACAACAATTATGCTGCCTACAACCATGTCAGAGGGAAATAATAAGCGTTGCATTCTAAAGTTGTACAGGCAAGCCAACAACTGCGAACCGTGCAAATGATGAGCCAGCCAGCATTGGCAGAGGCAACACAGTTGGCAGAGGCAGCGACGCCGACGGCAACGGCGACAGAGTGCGTGTTGTTGCCTTGGACGACCGATGAATAAAAAGTATATACACAAAAAATTGAATCTGTGACGCAATCATCAAACACCTTTAAAGGGGAGTTCAAAAGCAACTGCCGCCTAGCCTTTGCAGTATGCCTCTGCAGTCTTCTCGCATCCCACTTCTCGCCTCTCGCCTCTCGCCTTTCTCTGTCTTGCCTCGCCTCGCCTCGCCTTGACGTTGACAGCCACAGCCGTGCAGAAAAGTTTTGTACGCTTAGAGGGCAACACAACATGCAACGGCCCTGGCACCCTCATCTGGCTGACATGCCAGGGCTCTGCTTGGCGGGGAAGGGCAGTGCGAGGGCAAGAGGGTCGAAATTATAATGTACATATAAGTATTTAGCAGTGGGGCTAAGCGAAAAATAAAAACTAATAGAACAGCCCGCCACCTAACTGAAACACAAGTAAATAGGCATGCTCTGACACTGACGCTGGCGCCGACGACGACGCCGACGACGCCGAGGCCGGCGCAGTTCGCTGCAGCAACTTGAAAATGAATCTCGGATACCCATGTCAAAAAATAAAAGTCGTGCATGGGAGGGGCCGTCGGACACAGTTGGACTAGGCCAGGGGCAGTTGAAGCGGCTCGTCGTCGTCGTCATCCTCGTCCTCGTCCTCGTCCTCCGCGTCCTCGTCAGTTGCTTTGGTGGTCTAAGGAAACTTGTTTGTTGCACAGAAACAAAAGCGCTTCCGCTTTTCATGTAAAATGACAGAAACAAGTGTTAATGGTTTTGGGCTTAGGTAAAGAAATGAAACTCGATGGGAAAAAGGCAACAAAACAGCTATGAGAGAGTTAACTCGTAGAATGGCATGCTAAACGAAGCAGCAGCTTCATCAGCGAGAAGGCGGCAGCAGGGAGGGGAAACACAGGCGACTGCAGCAGGAAACTACAGATAGTTGGGCCATAGACGATCCAATTGGCACGCTGTAATGCGTACACAGAATAAAAGTACCGCATAGTCTGAATGAGAAAAAAGGGCAAATATGATTCAAGGGGATATTTCAAAAGTAATTGCCTGTACTTTTTGTTTACATTGAACACATTGTTGTTGCCTGCCTAATCATTAGTTTACACAATAAAGCCAATTTTGAGGTAATAGGAGAATCACTTATCACCAATTAATGCCAACGTGTAGCTCTGCGCAATTTTTTCCCATTTTTCAACTTTTTATTTTTTAAACAGTTTGAAAATATTTTTTTTACAAATTTTGAATGGGTTCCATTTTCAATCTGTTTATTTCCTTTTATGTGCATGCACTTTTAAAGCAGCGAACAAATGCCATAGCCTCAGACATGGAATTGATTTGCAGCGCAGTCAGGTGACTGGAAAGCTGAGACCCCGATGTCAGCAGCATTGCATTTATACCTTCAGCCCTTTCCCGCCACCTCCTGGTATCGCCTAATTTTTGAGCAGAGTTTTTTACAGTTTGCCACAATTTTTTGTACGAGTATGAATGCGCCCCATGCATATGCAAATGCAGCCTACATGCAGGGTAGCAAGCGACTCTCCTCTGTCTGTCTCCCCTGCCCCAGCTCCAGCCCCTGCCCCTGCCCCGACCCCAAGTCATCTAGCTTACCACTAAGAGTCACAGCCGAGCATGGCGGCCATGGCATATGTAAAACTTTGGCAGAGCATTGCCTACTTTTTTGCGCTGCCTGACTTTTCACATGTGTGCATGTGTTGGTGTGTGGTGTGCATGTTTGTGTGTGCGAAATTACAATAATGAAAATATATTTGCAAAGCTCGGCTAATTAGTTGAATATGAGGCATGATGGCCTTAGTATAGGGGCGCCCACAGAAAAGAGGTCAGATAAGAAAAGAACAGAAAAGCAAAATACGAAGAAAAAAAACCGGAAAAGAAGGAAAAGGCAAAAGGATATGGGGGGGTAGTCTATAAAGATGTGACAGTGCACATTCCAAGCAATCCAAACATTCTCACAGCCCGCTAATTGTTTTCCTATTAACCTTTTTGTTTACGCACAGCATTAACATTAAACGTTGCTCAATCATGCCGCAGGCGGCAACTTCTTTTCCCACTTCGGCCTACGCCTGTTACATGCAAATGAGCGTGCCCCGAAAAGTTGCGACACGCTGTCAGCCAACACCGAAAGCAATGGCAGCGTGATGGGGACGGGACTGTTGGCGGGTGATCAAAGAGCGAGGAGCCCAGCTGTTTCAATTGTTTTTGCCACTTTTGGCTTGACTGATTCGGACTGATTCGCGGCCTCAAGAATAGCAGCAAACAAAATGCAAACAAAAGAAAGAACTCGCAAACTTTTTGGCTTCAAGGTCCAGAAACGTATATACCCTTGAAATATTAGCTACTCTCAATATATTGATGTTTTTGGCATTTTGAATGCATTTCATCAGAACATTCGCAATCAATAACCAGTCTATATAGCAGCCTTAATCAATCTGAAGTTGAAGTTTCTATATTTCAGTTTTCAATATACCCGTACATATATTAATCTGTGAACATAAGCCACTCAAGCAATTTATTGTCTATAGTGATGGAAGAATGTTTTGCAATTTGAATAAAAGTATGTATATAGTATATTATAGATTCCTCTAGATTTATGATTTAATGTTCCTAATGAGAGTTCCTCAAGTACTTAGCATCCCTGCACCTGAGTTCCAAATGAGAACTTCTTCAAGAGTATTGGGGCTAACGTGCATGGATGGCAAAGGCACAATGTACGAGTAAGTAAATAAACTCGTCTATTCGTTTCCGGAGA